TAGCTGCATTTACACATGTTTAATAGCATTTGCTGTTTGAAATGCTGATAAAATCTACCCCTGAAAGCAAGTTTTCTGCATTCAAAAAAACGACTGTAAACTCAACTGCCTGTAAACGACTGTAAACGACATAGTGTACATGGACACATAGGAAAACATTAGGGTGAGTTCAGGGGCTGATGAAAAATACGCAGAAAAGCTCCTGAATGTGAATTTATCAGCTGCAGTGTACATGAGCCCTAAACCCACACCCTAGGTTCACACCTAAGCAGGGGTGGACTGACAACTCATGGGGCCCCCGGGCAATAGGGGATCATGGGGCCCCTGTGTCCTTGCCCAAACTCAAAAAAGCCTATGAAAAAGGTACCAGGGGCATCTCATGGGGCCCCCTACTGACCCCGGCCCTCGGGCAGTGCCCGAGTTTCCAAATGGTCAGTCCGCCGCTGCACCTAAGCGTTTTCCGCAGTGTTTTGCAGACACGCAGTACAGTCCATTTAACATGATTTCCTATGGGACAGGTTCATATATCAGTGTTTTCACTGCATTTTTTGGACAGGGTCAGGGACTTTTTTTAATGCAAAAAGTTGTGTTTTTTGTTTAGGTAGACTTCAATGGAAATGCTGCAGAAAAGCATGTATTGCATTTTTGCTGCATTTTTATACCCCATTTTGATGCGTTTTTGATGCTTTTTTGTGTTTTAAATCTGCCTAGCAGCAGCAAAAATTTAAAAAATGTAAAAAAACAAAAAAAAATGCAGCAAAAACATGTCAAAAATGCAAGTGCAAAAACTCAATAAAGAAACAGCTCAAATGCAACCTGCATAGGTGTGAACCTAGACTTAAATATACTTAGTGAAGACACTGGCCTCAGGTACAACGTATGTAGGAGGATTTGTTTCATCTCTGTGTATAACCTGTTTATCTGAAGCCTTCTCTTCTCTACATCCATTCAAAGTCCTGAATTTATAAAGCTTGTTTGAAATTTTAGAAAAAAAAAGTGGGAAGAGAGCTGAAATGACACACTGCAGAGCTCAGTGAGGAGAGCTCTAAGAGTTGATTGGAGGGAAGGGACACACCCCCTTCACGCAGCACACAGGACCATAGCTGAGGCTGTCAATCACAGGCTGTGCGCTGGAGATCCCTCTGTCACCTTTTTTCTGTTGGTGTCACAAAGACCTGTCAGAAGTGATTCATGCTGATAGCAGAGGAACTGGGCAGCAGATGGAAATTACCCTTAGGGGTTGATTTACTAAAGACAAAGAATATTCCTCTATAGTGTGTACTTGTCTCTATTTAGAGCACTAAGGGGTTTATTTACTAAAGGCAGATGCACTCTGCAAGAGCAGTTGCTCCACAGCTTAGTAAATGAGCAGAACTCTGCTGACTTACATCATCCAATCATGTACAAGCAAAAATGCAGTTATTTAATTGTCTTTGCATATGATTGGGTATTGTTTGCAAAGTAAACCGTTTCTGCATTTCCCAAGCTCTTGAGCAACTGCACATTGTAAAGTGCACAGTCTATTTGCCTTTAGTAAATCAACCCCTTAGTGCTCTGGATAGAGACAAGTACACACTACAGAGGAATATTCTTTGTTCGTATTCCATGTCTGAGATTTACAATCACTTTACAGCAGCCCAGTGACTTGTTGCACCCCATTTCAGGAAACAATGGACACGTGGGGGTTGATTTACTAAGGCTGCTTTCACACTGATACATTTTTCTTCTGCTTTTGCATAAAAAAAAAAAGCAATAGAAAATGTGAGATCGTGTATTCCTATGGAACTTCTTTACAAACGATGGATCCTTTGCGGGTCAGGTGCATTTTTTAAAAACCCTGCTAGCTGCATTTTTGGTGCAGGTTTGGTGTGGTAAAATAAAAGCACCAAAAACACTCCCACCCCACTGAAATCAATTGAAAATGCAGCAAAAACACATTAAAAAAACCTCATCAAATTTCCTTTCCTCAGTGCTGTCACGGTATGAGGAAAGGAAAGCCGATAACCAGCTTTCCTGTGACGGGACATTTACACTGATTATCAGTGCAGCCTTATCAGTACCAGTCAGTGTAGCATATCAGTGTTCATCGGTCCCTTTTAGTGCAGCATATCAGTGCCACCTATCAGTGCCTATCAGTGCTGCGTTATCAGTGCAGCCTCTTCATCAGTGACCATCAGTGCAGCTTATCAGTGGCCATCAGTGCTCCTTCAATGCAGCCTCATCAGTGCCCAACAGTGCAGCATCATCAGTGCCTATCAGTGCAGCCTCATCAGTGACCACCAGCACAGCCTCATCAGTGCCTATCAGTGCCACCTCAAGTGCCTATCAGTGCAGCCTCATCAGTGCCTATCATATCAGTGCAGCCTCATCAGTGCCCGCCAGTGCAGCCTCATCAATGCCCAGCAGCACAGCCTTATCAGTGCCCATCAGTGCCTCATCAGTGCCCATCAGTGCAGCCTCAATCAGTGCAGTCTCATTAGCGCACATCAGTGAAAAAGAATAATTACATTTGCTACAGTACAGTCATCAGTGCCCATCACTGGAGCCTAATCAGTGCAGCCTCATCAGTGCCTATCAGTGCAGCCCCAGTAGTGCAGCCTCATCAGTGCCTATCAGTGCAGCCTCATCAGTGCCCATCAGTGTAACCTCATCAGTGCCCACCAGTGCAGCCTCATCAGTGCCCATCAGCGCAGCCTCATGAGTGCCCATCAGTGTAACCTCATCAGCGCCCACCAGTGCAGCCTCATCAGTGCCTATCAGTGCAGCCTCATCAGTGCAGCCTCATCAGTGCCTATCAGTGGAGCCTAATCAGTGCAGCCTCATCATTGCCTATTAGTGCAGCCCCATCACTGCAGCTGCATCAGTGTCTATCAGTGCAGCCTCATCAGTGCCCACCATTGTAGCCTCATCAGCGCCCATCAGCGCAGCCTCATCAGTGCCCATCAGTGTAACTTCATCAGCGCCCATCAGTGCAGCCTATCAGTGCCCATCAGTGCAGTCTCATTAGCGCACATCAGTGAAAAAGAATAATTACTTATTTGCTAAACTTTATAACAGGAACAAAGAAAAAGGGTTTAACAAAAAAAAAATTAAAAACAGTGGTGATTTAATACCGCCAAAACAAAGTTCTATATGTCTCAAAAAAATTGTCATTCAAAGTGCAGCAGTGCTGAAAATTGGCCTGGGCGGGAAGGGGTGAAAGTGCCCAGTAGGCAAGTAATTAAAATGTAAAACCCTTTTTTTTTTTAGTTTTGGATAGAGTGGAGAGGGAATATTATTGCTGTCTTTGCCCCCAATAGGGAGATTCACCCTCTCTATTTGTCCCGGCTACCTTTATCACCAAGAGTGAAAGTCAAAGAATATTCCACATTTTCGGTTGTGACCAGAACAGGAAGAGAGGGGAAATATTCCATTGGACAGTAGTTCTGGTGAGATTCTATTACTTTGGAGGAATTTCCATGGGACAGGAAGTGAAGGGGACTCTCCACAATGGGACAGAGATATAAAAAAAAACCTGACCTCTTTCTATCCAAAATGAAAAAAAAAAAGCTTTGCCTTTAGTTCTACTTCAACCGTCAAAATGCATCAAAGCTAGCAAGGGCTGGTTCACACTTACTTTGGGATTGCGGATTCAGAGAGCATTTGCCAGGTGGTTGGAGGTGTTGTATTTGAAAAACAAAAAACTTTTGAGCTAGATGCGTGATAGCCAATGGTAATCAAACAATAAAAATTATTAAATTAAATTATAAATTACAGTGCTGCCACTTCAAACAAAAATTCATTAAACCAAAAAACCCTCAAGTGATTCAGTAGCGCAAAAAATGGATAAATAAAAAAAGTATACATATAAAGAGACGTGGTTAATCAACATCAAAAATAGAAAGTCCATAAAAGTCTCTTCCCCCAAACAATTCTAATTCCCAACAAAATCACTACGTGCTCATAAAGAAGGCGTTCCCCCTTTCAAGTGTGTGCACTCACCCAATAACCATGCCCCCCATTCTCATGGTCGGCTGGAATCACTTATCATATTAATCCAGATGGGAAGGAAGTCGGCCAGTATCAATGTTGTTTCACTTCTTTCTGTTTATCCTCAAATCTCCATGCCTTTCATTCCCATGATTAGCTCACACCTACTTCATAGATTGACAGATTCCTAATACAGAGGAGCTAGACCCAAGTGACATGGGAGCGCCATTGTTTGGGATCCGGTGGTGTTGAGAGCACTGCTTGATACCCACCAGCGTATAACAGCATATTGCAGTATTCATAGGCATTGTATTTGCCAAATTTTTGTAAGTGGCTATCTACTTTTAGCGATTAACCTCCCTAGAGGTCTGATTATGTCCATATTTCTATGCTCAAAGCGGTACATTTTTTTTCATGGAAATATGTATTTTATTTATTGTAGGCCTGTAATTTTTATGAATAACTCACTGAAATCTGTCCGAACAAGAGTCTAGTAAACATGCCGGGTATGTTACAATTTGAAACACGAAATCATAAATTATAATTGAAGAAATAAACATAAAAAATAATAATATAATAATACATTTAATTCAATAATATAATCAAACCAAAAACACTGAAATTTGTAATATAGCGCCAAGTTCGCACATCACTGAGCAAAGTCGTAAAATCGTTTTCAGTGTCTGATGACGAATTTCCCCACGAATCATTATCACTCAATTCTGCAAGTGGTTCTGATTTACTATCGCTGTTCTCTAGCCAGTCTAAAACCGCTTTTGACCTAAAGGGACGCTTTTTGGACGCCATGGACGTTTCTCGGTTTCCAGGCAGAAAGAACAGTAAAAATGCAGGCAGGGCACAGGACAAAGCACTCGGGACAAAATGTATGTGAAATGGTTTGATACAGTAATGTAATACTATGTGATTTTAGTGTATTTAGTGAATGTCACTTTTTGTCATTTTCAAGTTTTCCACCGTTCCATCCCCCATACGTCCTGACGTCGCAGGGAACGGAACCCAGATGACAGATGCCGGCATCCGCCTGAGGACATTGCCGGGGACACTGCAGGGGGGACATCACGGGAGCGCAGGACAAGGTAAATGATCGAGGGATCCCGGAGCAGCGCCGCATGGTAAGCCTGAGTGTAGCTCGGGGTTACCACTTGTGGTACTGAAACTTTACCCCGAGCTACACTTGGAAATACCGCCAGGGAGGTTAATTGACTCCTGTCTAAATTGGCCCTAGTATGTATGAATGTGAGTTAGGGACCTTAGATTGTACGCCCCTTGAGGGTTAGGGATTGATGTGAATGTACAATATATATATATAAAGCACTGTGTAAATTGACATCATTATATAAGTACCTGAAATAAATAATAGGGATCATTATAGGTTGTTTGGGAGGCTTTTATGTCCATGTAAGCTGGTATAAATCTACCCAATGTGAGTGTAATGAAGGTCATTAAAAAAAAAAAAAATTCTGAGCCTCATACAGTATTACACTATCAGCATTTTTCTTTTATATTTTATATCGCCCTATGTGGAATCGTTTTTGGAAGGAGATTCAGTAAGGAATCGATAGAGGGAAAAACATCTGAGGAGACTGCACTCCACCTCTAAGCCTGTTTTGATTCTCAAAGCCTAATCTGCTTGAGAATCCACTTTATCTGGTCAGTGTGGGGGGAAATGATTCACCACTGATGATGTGAGTACGCTGGAAAATGTATCAAATTGCCTTCTTTCTCTCATTTTATCACATTTATTTGGGACACTGGACTTTAATTTGGGACTTTTTTTGGACTTACATATTATAATGTTAAATTGTATTCTTTATTATTTGTGCTGTGTCACCTTATAAGTTTTGTTTGATGTTTTGTCATTTTTTGAACAGCAGCATTTATTTTGATTGATTGTTATTTCTTTGGGTCAAAAAAAAAGTCCAAAACTGCTGGTTTGTGGCGTTTTACCAAGTTTTTCAGCATTAGAGCGTTTTTATAGCTAAAAAACACCTCTAGAAACCCATTAGTTTTGGGTTTTTTTCCTGCCAAAAAACATCCCAGCCAAAAAACATTGATTACAGCCTATGTGTCCATGGACACATAGGATAACATGCTGGGGAGTTTATTGACTAGAAAAAAAACGTCAAAAGCCAAAAGGAGCAGCTGTAAAAAAAATCAAGTGTGCATGCGGGCTTACTGTGCCATAAAGGAGTTTCACAGACACACACAATCGAGGGATCCCAGAGCAGCGCTGCATGGTAAGCCCGAGTGTGACCCAGGGTTACCGCTTGTGGTACTGAAACTTTACCCCGAGCTACACTCGGGAATACCGCCAGGGAGGCTATGAGTGTATTTTGTACTGCACCATTGGGGTATTCATTTCTTTGCTGTTTCATGACCACTAACCCTGAGATAGAAGATGGAGGAGAAGGAGATTGTTATCTATATGGGTCTAGCTCAGCAATGGGCAAACTACGGCCCGGCGGACCTTTTAATCCGGCCCGCGGAGCTAGGCTCCCGCTAGGCTCCTCTCACAGTCCGCCCTGAAGACCGGTGTAGCATGAAAATCTGTCTCCTATGAGGATCTGTCCCCCTCGACGTATCTGCGCATGTGCCGGAGATCGCCGATCGGCTGCTAATGCCTGAAACTGGCACATGCGCAGATACGTCGAGGGGGACAGATCCTCATAGGAGACAGATTTTCATGCTACACCGGAACGGTGCGGGAACACGGCGAGAGGAACGCGCGGAGCAAAGGTAAGTGAATTGACACAGGGGGGACTTGGGGACTTAATATAGGGAATGAATTACTATAGGGGGGATGAATTACTATGGGGGATGAATTACTATATGGAGGATGAATTACTATATGGGGGATGATGGGGGATGAATTACTATATGGGGGATGAATTACTATGGGGGATGAATTACTATGGGGGATGAATTACTATATGGGGGATGAATTACTATGGGGGATGAATTACTATGGGGGATGAATTACTATATGGGGGATGAATTACTATGGGGGATGAATTACTATGGGGGATGAATTACTATATGGGGGATGAATTACTATATGGGGGGATGAATTACTATGGGGGATGAATTACTATATGGGGGATGAATTACTATATGGGGGATTAATTATGAATTACTATATGGGGGATGAATTACTATATGGGGGATGAATTACTATGGGGGATGAATTACTATATGGGGGAGGAATTACTATGGGGGATGAATTACTATATGGGGGATGAATTACTATATGGGGGATGAATTACTATGGGGGATGAATTACTATATGGGGGATGAATTACTATATGGGGAGATGAATTACTATATGGGGGATTAATTACTATGCCTACTATGGGGGAATATTACTATACTTACTATGGATGACACATACACATCATTCATCTACTCTTGGTCCGGCCCCCGGGTCCAATATATGAACCCCTTGAGGCCCTCAAGTCAAAAAGTTTGCCCACCCCTGGTCTAGCTCCTCTGTATTAGGAATCTGTCAATCTATGAAGTAGGTGTGAGCTAATCATGGGAATGAAAGGCATGGAGATTTGAGAATAAACAGAAAGAAATGAAACAACATTGATACTGGCCGACTTCCTTCCCATCTGGATTAATATGATAAGCGATTCCAGCCGACCATGAGAATGGGGGGCATGGTTATTGGGTGAGTGCACACCCGAAAAGGGGGAATGCCTTCTTTATGAGCACGTAGTGATTTTGTTGGCAATTAGAATTGTTTAATGGAAGAAACTTTTATGGACTTTCTATTTTTTATGTTGATTAATCACTTATCTATATATGGAGGTGTTGTTTTGCCTCCTCACTGCCTGCTTTAACCTCTTAACCCCACACAGGCACGTGGTTGTGGGGTGGTTGTAGGGTGGTTGCAGAATGGTCCCATTCAATTGAATGGTTTGCATTTGGTGGGAGTTAGCACCCGGTGGGAGTATAATACCTGCCACAGCTGTGATGCAACGCATCACAGCCGCAGCATGTGCACACCCCCTAGCAGCTGGTTCTGCAGCTAAAGAGGGAATGATTTGTGGGTGGTATAAATGTGGCTCAACAACAGGGATGTATCATCCCCCAACTGCTAGTGTGAATGAGCCCTAATACACACTGAAAATTTAACCAAATACCAAAGCACAAACAGAACCAGCCAAGAAGGAATTTGTGTAATCAGTCTTTGAATATTAAATGTATACAGACGTATTTAAAAAGGAATTATATTTCCCACTTAGTTTTACTTTGTAGTTTAAGCCTGACACTTACATTGCAGCTTCAAGGGGTCAAAGGTCTGACAATGAGGTCTGACAATTTCTGCCTTTTTATCTACTTGACCTCCGACCTGGCCCACTTAGAAGATGGGAACTGTGCGTGAGGTCAGGCAGTTAACAGGGTAATACATTTTAAGTATGTTAGCATGTCAGTGTCCATATAAATGTAGAAGGCCACAGGCAGAATGCATTTATAAGGTAATTGGCCTCCTTGGTGAATTCTAATATTCTTAATAATTTAGTGCAGAAGTGTAGTTATTCCTCAAAGTCCCTTACATTGCCTGAGAGACACAGATTGACACACACACATCCTGGAATAGACAGACCACACCATGTTGGGCATAGAGTCAAAATTGCCCGACAGATGGACACAAACCCTGATGGACAGACAAGGGCACACCATGAAAGACTCCAGTTAAATTTTGGAAAACAGATTAGAATGCCTTAACAATGCTTATGTAGGGATGTGGCACTTTGTTACTAACCGAGATTTGACCTCCTACCACCCGAGGGTCACCTCAATTTTTCAACATATTAGAATGCTTATCTGACTAGAGTGGGTAAAGGCTTAATGTGGTAGTTTGGCTTACTCTTAAGAATCTGTTTATAAAACTATTGTTAGGTGAAGGTCACAAAGATTCCTGCAGGCTAGAGAAATTGTCCCCGTATTTTCTGTAATAGATTAATTCCTATGATCATCAGCTCCATCTAGTGGTCAAAATGTGGTATATTTTCTCCTTGGAAATTTTGGCCAATAGATGGCGTTGATGATAATAGGAATCAATTTAGAACAGAAAATATGGGAAAAATTCATCCGAAAAATGTTTTATAAATATATCCCCATAAGTTTATGTTAACGCTTACAATACATTTCTCTTATTATCAACTTTTGGTCTCTTAAATATACAAATGAAAGTGTTTTATAATATCTGTTTGACAAGTTTACAAATAATTAGCCAGAAATGTTGTGAGCTGATAACTTCCTGTACTCTCTGCCTCTGGACTATTATCAGTTAGCGTTGTTCCTTGCTACCACAGTGGACTACAAAACATATTCCCTTCTATGGAGAAGAAAGGGAGGTGCTCTGTGGCCCTAACACAGTGTTATGTAGTCTTAACATGCTCCCTGTCCTCGGGTGACAGCTCTGGCCAGTATGGTGGTCATTCTAGGACAGGAAGTGAAGTGAGTTAATGGCAGTTTACTGGGTTAAAATAAAGGGGGAAAAGTGTGAAAGAATACTAATATGGCCACTATATCTAAGGACTGGTAAGCTGCAATAACTCCTCCTACAAGCTTTAACCAGTGCTCTGCTGGACACTGATAGAAGTCACAAGACTGCTCTAACTGCTGATGAGAAAAGGTATTTAGAAGTTTATATTTACTAAAACAGTTGCATTTTCATGTTCTGTGTACTGTGGAAGACCAGATATAACGAATGCAGGGTCCTGGGTTTAGTAAAACTTTAATGTGTGGGGATCTTCACAAAGTAAGTCTACAAACGTCAGCATTGTTTAACTTACGAGTAGACTAGAAATAATTGTATACAGTGTGGAAATTAATATGTGATTTTACATTTTGACCACTGGATACGCTTTATAAAAAAAAAAAAAAAGGAAAAATGTGTTTTATGGGCAACATGGGAAATATTGGATGGAAAAGTACAAATTCCTCATTTTACAGCTTCGGAGTCCCAGAGTCCCAGGTTATAGCCCACTGAATTTTCCGGCAAACATCACAGCTTGGTTCAAGCAATCCCAAATCGAATCCCCAATATTCAGAGAGAATTTTTCTTTTACCCGAACACAGCAACACTAGTAATTATAATGAACGTGTTTCATTATAGAAAATGTGCTGCCATAAGCAAATGCCTTTTTTGGTTATACTATATGATAAACATAGCCCTGAGCCTTTATAACAAAATAAATTGTACAGTAAACTGAACTCCAGGCATGCTTAAACAACACCATTTAATGCAGTTATGTGCTCATAAAAAACAAACATTAAATGTATTTTTAAATACAGTGGGTATAAATGCCTGAATTTCACATTATATCAGTTTATGATATTTCCTACATCCGACAACGAGAGTAAGAGCCATTGGTGACAGCCAATTAAATTCTATTGCAATACGCTATACTGTCAGTCTAACACAGGCAGGAGCTGTGGTCATGTGAAATCAACATTAAGAGAGTACTCCGGACTTGGAAGCAAGCAGAACCACTTGCACAGTTAACACTTTGGATACTGCTAGTGCAGATAGTTTTTGTGTATAGTTAGAGGCTTGCTAGAGGCCTAGGTGTGAGTCAGCAAGATTACTTAAAGTTAGGGCTGGTGACTCTGCAGGTCAGTCCTCTGGTACTTGTCCCCTGACTCTAGAAACTTGGAGAAGCTTCTAGAAGCCAGTGGGTGGAGGTGAGGAGGGGCTGGTCTGCATATTTATGGGAATCTGACCAATCCTAGGCAGGAGGCCTGGCAGTGTGGAAGATCAGCCCATAAATATGAGAAAGCCTGACCAGCAGGGGAGTTGGGTGGAAGATGAATTAGGAAGGTGCTGCTGGTGAAGATCCTTGGAGGGGGCCCCAGAGAAGGGAGGTTTACCTACAGGCTGGGAGCTGGAAAGAGGGACCTCCACTGTACTCTACAGTCTACAGGGAAGGATAGCCTGTCAGCAGGGGAAGAAACCAGCCCAGTGTAAGGCCTGAAGGCTACAGGAACTTGACAGTGTGAGTACCTCTACACCTCCAGGGTCTACAAAGCAGAGGGCAGTCAGGTGCCGTACCCAACTAGTTCTCCCTGGGACAGTATATTAAGTGTCTAGGAATCCTTGATACTTTTCAAGACAGCCAAGTGGATAAGTAAATTTTCATCTGGGGTCTGAAGAGGTTAATTTAAGGGAACTGATGCTCCTAGTAAGGACTGTGTGCTGATCTGTTAAGAGGCAAGAGCCATTCCAAAGGGAGTAGAAACTTCAAGATCAAATTCTTGATTCTTGTACATAGGAAGTTTGTCCTCCAAGTTTTTTTCAGTTCTATTGGGCTTCCTATATACCCCTAGACCCCATCCA